AGAGCCTAAGAGTTTCCTCACATGAGGAAAATGAATTTTGTGTTGTGCACCAGTATTGAGTTCATGTGGCTTGTTTGGATGTGCCACCCAAGTTATTAATAAATATTTTTAAACCTCTACCTTTTCCCTCTGCTGCCATGTCAGCTCTCCTCCCCCCCCCCCCTCATCCTCCTCTGCTGTCCTGACTCCTGCTCTTCACTGTCCTCAGCCCTCCTGCAACCTGCCCCCATCCACCAGCCCTTCTCTCCTCCCTTTGCCCACTTCTCCAGTAGCCCCACTCTGATCATGTGAGCTACCCCTCCTCATCCCCTCTTTTAACACCTCCCTTTACAAACCTGCCCTGCATCTCTTCTCTGATGGTGGTCCCTCCACTGCAGGTGTCTGCCCTTCTGCTTCACCCCCAGAATCCCCTGGCACCTGCACCTTCTCTTACCCCTGCACCCTCCTGGTGCCTCCCCCTTCCCTCACTTCCCCTGCCCCCTTTGCCCTCTTTTTCCCTGATGCCCACCCCCTCACCATTCTCTGCCCTCATGCCCCTGTGCCCTCACACTTGACTTGCTCCATCCCAGCCTTCCTCATTCCCACCCCTTCTTTCAAGCCTTCTCCCAGCACCTCCCCTCACCCCTCTAGCCCCCAATGCCCTTATCCTCTCCCCTCCCAGCATCACCCTGTTCCCCTCCCACTGACACCTCTCCCCTCCTGCCCTTTTCCTCATTGTCTGCGCTTGGCCCCCTGCCATTTGTCTTTCCTCCACCCTGTCCCTTTCGTGCCTTCCCCTTCGCCTCCGCACAATCACCTGCCTCTCCCAGCCCTTCCCCTTTCCTTCTGCACAAGCCCCTTCCCTCCCTCTCCCTCTCCCTCTCCCTCTACCGTACCTTCTGCCTTCCACTTTGTGGGGCCGGAGTCTGTGCTTTGTCCCCAGACTCCGAACCCGCAACTCAGCCATGCGGCGCATCACAGCGCCCAGCAAGTTTAAAATTCCGGGCTATGACGTTACGTCACGTCTGGGCGTCTCTCCACCCACTGGTTTGAGCATGCTGCACAGGGCAGCAGCAGCCAGGGAAGGGGAGCCTAGAGAAGGTTGCGCATGGCAGGGACGGGGACGGGGGAGAGACACTCTGGGGCCAGGGTGGGAGGACCCGCTCGAGCTCCAGCTCCAAATATTGCAGGAGCATGGGCACCACAAGCCCACACAACTCACCACCCATGCCTCTGCTGGCTAGCCGACTCTCTCTCTCTCTTTTTCAGACGGGGCGGGGGAGCGCCGGCTCCTCGCGGAACCCCTCGTTTTGCTCCGTGGAACCCCAGGGTTCTGCGGAGCACCAATTGGGAAACACTGCCCTAGATGAAACTTTCAAGGGAAAACCATTGTCTTCTCAGTGCATATCAAAGCTGATAACATCGTGCATTATTACCTGCTACTTGCTCCAGAATAGGGCATTACCAACGATTCCAAAGGCCCATTCTACCAGAGAAATGGTGACATCAGCTGCTTTTCTCAAGGGAGTCTCACTCCAGGAAATATGCAGAGCAGCCACATGGTCGTCGAGTCACACCTTCATAAAGCATTACACTATTCCACCGTCTTCCACAACAGATACTGCAGTAGCCACTGCAGTTCTAAGATTTGTAGCAATTAACCGAAGCCCACCATCCATTCAAATGGGCACTGCTATGCAGTCACCAACAGTGGAGCACTCCTGGGGACATCACTGAAAGAAGAAAGAGTTACTTACCCTGTGGAGTAACGATTGTTCTTAGAGATGTGTGTCCCTGTGAGTGCTCCATGACCTGGCCTCCTCCCCACTTATTTGGGTAATAATAGCAGCCCATGAGGGCGTCAAAGAAGAAACAGAGGAGAAGCAGGCTGCATGTGCTACTTCAAAGGCAGGAGGACTGCTCTCCACTCGCACATGCGTAGCCTGCCTGAGCATTGCTCTGAAAGTCTCTGATCCATGGTGCCGGTACAAGCCCAACACCAGCAGTGGAGCACCCACAGGGACACACATCTCAAAGAACAATCATTACTGCACAGGGAGAGTAACTTCTCTTTTCCTCTCTCCGTTCTGAAAACTGACCATTTATTCCTACCCTTTGTTTTCTGTCTGTTAACCAATTATCAATTCACGAGAGGACTGTCACTCTTATCCCATGACACCTTACTTAAGAGCCTTTGGTGAGGGACCTTGTCACAGGCTTTCTGGAAATCTAAGTACACTGTATCCACTGGATTCCCATATGCTTGTTCATATGCTTGTTGATTCCCTCAAAGAACTCTAGTAGTTTAGTAAAGCACAATTTCCTTTTGAGGAAACCATGATATTTGGTCTCTGATCCCATCCTGACCCTGACTCTAGCCTGGCATTACCTCTAATATCCAACTTCTGACTCCAGGCTTATTGTGACGTGATTCCTACCTCCTGATTCCAGTCTTATACTACCTGTGTTGTCCGATTCTGGTCAGACTTTGATTCCAACTCTTGCTCATTGAATCCCACTCCAGAGATTTCTCTGACCCCTGTTCAATGACTAACCACCCTGATATGTGAACCCAAGTTCATCTCTGGCTTCTGGACTAGACTGCACATCTGTTTGGCATTTTGCACTAATCCAAGCCTCTGCTGCAGATTCAGGGTTTGTATAGACTGCAGGCTTCTTTCGGAAGAAGCTTTTCCGAAAGAGATCTTCCAGAAAAACTTTTTCCAAAAGAGAGTGTCTACAGAGCAAAAGTGCATCAAAAAAGCGATCTGTTATTTCAAAAGATAGCGTCCACACTGAATGGACACTATCTCGCACTTAAGCTGTGATTGCTATGGACCGAGTGGCCACCAGGGCACTTCTGCTTTTTCCTCTTTCCTCTTCTTTTGAAATAACTCTCTCTTCCCTGTCCACACATGCCTTTTTTTGAAAGAGCTATTTCAGGAAAAGGCTTCTTCCATGTAGAAAGAGATTTATCAGTATCAAAAAAAAACCCCTCTGTTCTTTCGATTTATTTTGAAAGAACGCAATTTCAGTGTGGACATAACTAGAGTTTTTTTCGGAATTGCAGTGTAGACATATCGTTAGCAATGGGATCTAGAGTACTGTACCTGTCTTTGCTGCCTGCTTCCTCATACTGGTCATCAGCCTGAACACAGCTTGATAATCATCCAAATCTGTAATACACATAGGACTGGTGTTTGAAGAAGAAATGGAGGCTGCATACTGTAACTGGAATTTCTTTGAGATACATGTTCCTGATCTGTAATGCCCTACCCTCTACCCCTGCTGCCTTGGATCTTGTTAGATTTGTAGTAAGACGGGGAACAGAAGAAGCAGTGAGCTGCACTGCCTCTCTTATTCTTGCTTAGGAGAATGAAGAGACATACTGTACATATGTGGGCCAACGGAGAGTGCACTTGGACATATGGAATGTAGTATGTGTTACCATATGTTGAGTAGAGATAGGACTGTACATTTCAAATAACTTCCAGTTACATTAAGTAACCTCCATTTCTTACAAGTGAATTTCTCCAGTTTCAGGTTATTTGTATTCATTCCAGTGAGTCATAGTTCCAAGGAGGAATCTGCTGATTTGTAATTTAAGTCTTGACTCACAAACCCCACAAAGCGAGGCTGAGGAATTGGGAATACTTGAAGAGGCATGTTTTTGCAGAAATCTCTGCTAGTTTATCTGTTAGTCCACTACATTACAGAGACTGCCTGTTCTTTCCTGACTTTAATCAGGTGTTTTGTTAAATCTGTTCTAGAACTGTATATTTTCCCAGAAGATTTTGGAGACAAGTGGTTCTTCCTAGAGTGAATTTTAGTTACATCTTGCTCAAAAAAATAGAGACTTCACAGGGATTTCTGGCATATGCTTAAAGGGTCCTCTGGGTAGTCAACAGGACTCTCTTGCATGGAAACTTGTTTTATTTCAGTACCATGCTGTTTAATCATTTGTGTATCCATATTATTTATTTGCTGTCTGTTGGAGTTTTTCCTGAGTAAAACCTATAGGAATTGGTCGTTGATCTGCCTTTCTTTCATTCCATAACTTAATAAAGAAACTGTCATTCTCAAATGTTTTATACTTAATTGTATTCCTTTTATATTTTGTTTATACTGTTGTATACATTTAGCTAAACAGTATTCAAATATCTGACCACAAAAAGAGAAATACAGTAAACTTCCGATATTCCGGCACCATTAGGACCTTTAGGTGCTGGATTATCAGATATGCCGGACTGTCGGAAGGGGGGCCACCCCAGACCCCTCATAGCCCCCCCTTTCGATAGTCCGGCTCTGCCCCAGGCGTCCCCGATTCAGCTGCTGCTGGTCAGTTTCAGCAGCAGCTGAATTGGGACCCCTGCAGCAGAGCAGCTGGGGTGCTGCCAGGTTGGTCCGGTAGCGCCGCCCCTTGGCACTGAGAGATCAACCTGGCAGCACCTCAGTTGCTCTTGGGGATGCCTGGGGCAGAGCAGCTGGACCCTCTGGACCCTCAGCACTACTGGGCCAACGTGGCAACACCCCAGCTGCTCTGCCCCAGGCATCCCCAAGAGCAACTGAGGTGCTGCCAGGTTGATCTCTCAGTGCCAAGGGGCGGCGCTACCGGACCAACCTGGCAGCACCCCAGCTGCTCTGCTGCAGGCGTCCCGGTGCTGCCGGGTTGGGCCTGCAGCACCCGGGGGCAGTGCTACGGGACCTACCGGCAGCACTCCAGCTGCTCTGCCCCCGGCTTCCCCGATTCAGCTGCTGGTCAGTTTCAGCAGCGGCTGAATTGGGGAAGCCAGGAGCAGAGCAGCTCCAATGGTCTGGACCATCAGATGCCGGACCAATGGAGTTTTACTGTAAAATGGACTGTTATTGAAAACATTGACAACATACTGAAAACATGCTAGAAAAAGATGTCTCGTTTAAATTACTTATGCTTTACATTTACTTGCCAAAGGCAATTGTTAAAAGTAATAATTTGGAATTAAAATAGAAAATATTTTAACATTTATTTTTAAATTTTACAGGAGTAACATTATCAAATGCAATGGTAAATGCAGGTCTGACATCATTTAAAAAAATTGAAGATGCAAATGCAAGGGAACTTGAATTGGTATTTAAAATTTATATACATATTTATATATGGAAAATGCTAATGTTTAATAGTTAATGAGTTATGGACTCCCATGTTTAAAGTGATTTATTCTAGTTCAGTAACACACTAGATTAAGGAAATATTTAATTTTCTGACAAAGGTATTGATTTTTTCCCTGAAGTTGATTTATTATTTTGATGTTCTGTTTAAGTTATAAATTACATATCAATTTTAGTGACATTTTTGTATTACTATATGGGGGAAGTGAAATTTACTCTAGAACTTTTTTCTAACTAAAAAAATAATAGCTCAAATTCAGGAATTTTATCCTTTTAGTAGTGGAAAGTTGTAGTATGAAATCTTAACCCTATTGAAATCCATAGTAAAACTTCCATTGAACATCAGTGAAGAAATATATGGGATTAAATTTTGTCATGCTCCTGATGCACAAATTCTTTTTCATTTTTACTTCTTAAATGTGA